GTATTAGTTATCAATAAGCTTCCAGGTGCAATTTAGAGTGCTTGTGATTACATTTAAAATCATAAATATAGCATAAGGCCTAGTTATCACAGTGACCATCTGTCTCCCATAGTGTTTGCCCATCCCATATAATCCAACTGAGTTGGCTTGCTTTGGGTCCTGTTAATTAAACACTGCCACCTATCTGGACCCAGGAACCGAGCCTTCCCTATTGCTGCACCTGCCCTCTGTAACAGGATTTCCCTGTTGTATGGTCCCCACCCTACCCACCTTTAAATTAACCTTAAAATTCTGGCTCATCCCCCAGGCCTTGGGTTAATGTATGGTTGGGCCCCTTTAAGCTGGAGGATGGTGTGGATGCTCTTTTAAATTTGTTCCATGTGGTTGACTCCTGTTCTGTTCTTATATTATATTGTTTTCTATCTATTTTTAGTTGTGAAGCTGCCCAGAGTTGTTCTGGTGTCAGGAGGCCTAGAAATTTGATGAGTAAATAAATAGATGGAGGCCTATCTATTGAAGAGAGACTCAGTGTTTGACATGGTCAATTAAAATTGAAGACTCTTGTCTGGGTTTGTAATTGAACTTTCATATAAATTCAGAAAAGTGGGATCACACTTAAACAATAAAATATTATCCTAAAAAAAAGTAGTAGAATTTTTATTATAGTCACTGACCAGAATTGCAAACAGAAACACATTGAAAATAAAAATAAAGTTGAAAAAAGTAAAAAAGAAAAGGAATCCTTCACATGCAAAATTTAGACATATGATCGATTTGAAGTCTGTAGTGGTAGAGACTAGGATGCAAAATTCTGCTCAAGAGAGAGAGCCAGAAGTACTCTTTTTAAATCACATGTTTGCCATAAAGTCATGAAGCTCAAAAAAAAAAAAAGAGCACAAACTCTTTAGAAGTTTGGAAGAGTAATTTAAGTCACAGACTTTATTGTTTCTTTTAAGTGTGATCTTCTGAAATCATTGTGTTAACAAGCAGCATTTTAAAATTCAGGTTTCATTTTTAAAGTCTCCGTAGAAAGTAGGAAAAAGCAATTTGACAGTGTAATCTTCCATATGTCTATTCAGTCCTGTTAAGTTCAATGAAGCCTACTTCCAGATAAATATGTAGAATAAATTTTCAGTTTGGATGAGTTCAAAGAACAGCTGATATAACATAGAGATTAGTTTTGAGTCAAATGTGAGAGATCAGAGTTTGAATCCCAGTCTAACTCCCTGAGAGATCTTAACTTTTTGCTTGCTTCTGTTATGAAGATATAAAAGAAAAGGGTGCTTTGAGTTTCTTGGGGGGAAAAAAGACACTTGCTTGCATGCTAATTTTCAGTATTACGTAAATTTCATTGAAAATGAGGTTTACATTTGTAAGGAAGAAGATTTCTTCAACAAACTTACAGAATGCTTTATGCACAAAAAATATATTTAGCACCAAATTTGCTGTCTTTTAAACATCCAGCAAAAACTGTTCACCATTTTTAGAACATTTACTGTCTGGTAAATGCTTAAAATTGTCGTTAACTACTATTTTGTTTACTTCTTCTTATCTGTTTTAATTAAACTGCACTGACATAATTTAAAATAAAACTGTAAAAACATAGCTAATTTGCTTAATCGCACACACACATTTACTCAACATGTAACTTCAGTGTTTGTGTGTGTGTATCACAATTGAAACAGTTATTTCAGCTGATTTGTGTTGGAAAACTACAAGTATGTCTTGTCATTGAAGTTGATGAGATTTTGAGATTTTCACTTTTGCTGGATTATGATTAGTTGAAAATTTGGCATAATAATACTTAACACTGTAAATACTTAGAATAGCAAAGATATCATATAGATTCCATCAGAACTAATTTATGATGATTTATATTTTTATAATTAAGCCCATACTAATAGACATATGTGAGATTTCCTAGTATGATACTGCATTACCTTAGATTTCTGTTAAGCTTAGCTACTGTATCTGTTTTGTTTTTTAAAAAATAAATTAATAGTTACTGGAACAAGCTGTAATGAGTTTGTGTTCAGTATGCATGTTAGAAATACTGCAATGAGAAGAAACCCAATTAAATTCAGTGGGTTAATAATAAGCTATTTGTGTTGCCAGCATAACTTGTAGTTGGTCTTGTGCCCATGTGCTCCATCACTCCAACATTTAGGAGTTTTGAAACTTCTACTTTAGTTTTTATTAATTTTTTCCATTTATATCCTACCTTTAATTCAGGAACTCCAGATGGCATACAGAGAACTCCTTTACCTGTTTTTCTCACAGTAGCAACCTTGTGAGATAGGTTTAGCTGAGAGAGGGTTAGATGACCCCAGCTTGTTCTGCCATCAGAACCTGATCAACCTGAATTCAAGCCATAATTTACGAAGTTGCTTGTTTCAACAGTTGTAATTAAAATCAAACACAGTTTAATGTTTGAACATTCCTTCAACCTACAGTTGTTCTCTCATAGAAGCTGAGGCTTTTGTGACTATGCTAGTTGACTGTTCAAATCTGTGACTCTGGCTCATTCTTATAACATGGTTATAAGAATGGTTCAGCAGTTATGTCTGAAGTAGTGATTCTTCAGCTTAGATATTTTAAAGGATCTTACCAGAGTTATAGCATGAATGGAAAATAAAAGCAACTAGAATCCTAAAAACATAAATTTGGAAGGGGGTGATTGAATCGAGCCCTCTGCTCAGTGCAGGGAAGAAACAAGAGATTACAGGGGAAGACTTGGAGGATGTGAGATAGGAAGGTTTTCTTTTCCTCATAATTCAAGAACATGGCAGTTGGTTCTGAACAAACAAAAGAAAAAGATGTCATGCGCAATTCAGCATTTCCTATCATAAGGTTACAGTAATATGCCATATGCTTAAATGCTTTAAAAATAACTGGAAAAATTCTTGAAAGTAGCTGTACTCAGCCCATGTTAGAGGCATATTCTACTCTTCCAAGTGCAAAGAGGGGTTGCTGCCTGTGACAGCGGAATGGATGCATCTCACATTAAGTTTGGGACCACACTGAAATTTCCTTTTGAACCTTCAGTGGAGCACCTTTATGAAGTACTAAATTTGAGTTAAAGGAGTAGGGGATTAATATTAATAGTATTTATCGGTCATAGGCATTTGTCTTGTGGAGCTTTTGATGTTGGCACTGTTAACCACTAGGAATCTTTGGAGATGGCAATATACAAAAATAATAAAGGCAGTGTAAAGTTAGTTAGCCTAAGCCAAAAATATTATCAATGAAAAGATAAATTAAATTACAAGAAGCAGCTCTAATTTGTTGGGATGAACACACTTTTTAAACTTGTAATCCCATGCTAAATATATTCTCTGTACAGGTAGTCCCCAATTTAAGAATGAGTTCTGTTCCCAAGGTTTGTCCTTAAGTTGAATTTGTATGTAAGTTGGAACAGTATTATTATATAATACTATATAAGTAGTATTGTGCAATGAACTTGAACCATTGTGTATTTAACTTGAAATGTTGTGTATTTAACTCAAATTTTGCTACAGTAGGCTCCATTCTTAACTATGGGTCATCTTTAAACCAGGCATTCTTAACCTGGGGACTACCTGTACATAAAAATAAGTTTAGAAGTGGATTTGTGCACCCTAAAATTTGAGCCACAGTGGATCATACACCCAAACTCCATGGAATCAGTGACGTACTATTGGGTGTGGCTGGACTCTTTTGCATAGAACATTCTCAGGAATGCATTGCCATGTCCTTGTATGATAAAATTGTATGATTTAATTTTTAGCCCCTCAGAGTCATGTACTTGAGATGGGCAGCCAATTCAATTCAGTTCAATTCAATTCAATAAATAAATGTTCATTCTTGTCTAGAAAAAGTTAATCTGGGACCCTGGGAACACTTTTGCAGAAATTACAGCTGCATTTCTGCATTTCTGACAGTTTAAAAAAACAAACCTTAAATAAGTTAGTAGTATATGGAGGGATTTGTAATAGAATACCAGAGCATTATGCAAAGTCAGTGAGGCAGACTATTATACATTTTCAGGAATCAAATAGCTAGATAGCTTCTGTCAACACAGTTATTTTTCAAGCAACATATGTGTGGAGTCCACCAAGAAGGACATTTATAGAAAAAGTAATCTAAGAGATTGTCGAAGGCTTTCACGGCCGGCATACGATGGCTGGTGTGGGTCTTCCGGGCTGTGTGGCCGTGTTCTTGAAGTTTT